TACTACCCAGACTCCTCGTGTGGTCCAGCGGGTTACTGCACTGGACTGCAAGGTGGGTTTGAAGCTCAAGGTCGGTGGTTCAAGTTCACCAATCGCTCCTCAGAAACCCTATACAGGCTCGCTATGAGCTGGAACTGACTCAATGGTACTTAACAACAACAACTTAGAAGGATTTGGGAGCCAGAAGAGAGTTTCGGGGATGCGAGGCCTGGGGAAGAGGTCTCTGGTGTACTTTGGAGGAAGGGGAAGGATTTGTTGACCCATTTCCAGACATTTCTAGCCCTGGATCTCCCTCTATATTTCCTATGGTAAGGAGCTCAGGTAGCATGTTGTTGTTGTTGTTAAGTGCCGTCGAGTCGGGTCCGACCCATAGCGACCCTGTACAGGGTTTCGTGGGTTACAAATTAGACTGCTAACCATGGGGTCAGCAGTTCGAATCTACCAGGCACTCCTCAAGAGAAAGATGAGGCCTTTTCTGCTCCTATAAAGATTTATAGCCTCAGAAATCCTATACAGGTTTGTTTTGAGTCAGAACCAACTTCATGACACAAAACTACCACAAATGTATGGTAGTTTAAGAGGCTGGCACAGAACTGGGCAGTGTTGTGTTCTGGTGTGCATAGGATCTCTATAATCAGAACTGACTCAACAGCACCTAATAATAACAATGGTTATGTGCTTGGTTGTTAACTGAAATCTAGAGGTTTGAATCAACCCAGTGGTGCTGCATTAGGGAGACGTGGTGATCTACTTCCATGAAGATTATAGCTTAGAAAGCCCTTTAGGACATTTTGCTCTGTCACATGGGGTTACCAAGAGTTGAAATCAACTTGATGACATCTAACAATAATAGATCCATAGCAGCACATTTACCATATCAGCAATCTTCACACATTAATTATGGTCATAGTTTTATTCAACCATTATCTGTTATCATTCTTAAATGTCTCCATCACCCTTGGGATCTCTTTTAGGGGCTCCCTTCTACAGGTCATTGGCTTGGCACTCAAGGCTCTTTGTCCTCCTGTCCTGCTATGTTTCCTGCCTCTCTCCTCACCAGCCACAAAGACCAGTGGCCCACTATCCCCTGGTTATTTCCCACCTCCTCACCTTGGCCCAGGTAGATGCCTCAACCAGGCATGCCTTTTCCCTTGGATGCTTTGCCTAGACTCTATTCCCTCCAGCCCTGATCAAATTAATCACTCCTCAATGCACCTCCAATCCTGATACCATGTTCATCTTCATATCATCCAGCATCTTGGATTATATGCTTATATGCTTAGCATACAGATAGAATAACCAGAATGCTCCTTAGAAGTCAAGATGACCAGACTTTGTCTCTCATACTTCAGACATATTATCAGGTGGGACCAGTCCCTGGAGAAGGATCTCAGGCTTGGTAAAGTGGAGGGTCAGTGAAAAAAAGGAAGACACCCAACAAGATGGATTGGCACAGTGGTTACAAAAATGGGCTCAAGTGTAACAACCATCGTGAGATTGGCGCAGGACTGGGCAGTGTTTCGTTCTGATGTTCATAGGGTCGCTATGGATTGGAACCGACTGGACAGCACCTAACAATAACAACAATGCACCTAGCAGCCTTCTATGTGTGGCTCCCCTCCTCCCCACTCCCGGCCCAGCAAAGAATCATAGTCTCTGTTAACAAGTCTGTTCTTGTCTATAACCTGAGCTCCAGGAGGGATGGGGCAAGCCTCGTTCATGTTTGAGGCCCTTACAGGACCCAGCCAGGAGCTCTGGTGATGATGCAACAGATAAGCACTCAGCTACTAACCCGCTGCAGCAGCAGCTCCTGGGGGAAAGACCTGGTGATCGGGTCCTATAAAGGTTGCTGGTGGGTGGTGGTTACATACCAGAGTCAGTTCTGACCCACAGCGACCTTGTATAGGGTTTCCAAGGAGTCCCAGCGTGGCACTGTAGGACAATGCAAGGTTGGTTTGATGCTCCTCAGAAACCCTATACAAGGTTGCTAAGAGTCGGAACCAATTCAACAGCACTTAACAACAGCAATCACGTAGGGTTTCCGAGGCTGTAAACCGTTATGGGAGCAGAAAGCCTCTTCTTTCTCCCATGGAGCAGCTAGTAGATTTGAACTGCTGACCTTATGGTAAGCAGCCCAGTTCATAATCCACTACACTACCAGTGCTCCTCCTGTAAAGATTGTTGTTGTTGTTAACTGCTGTAGAGTCGGTTCCGACCCATAGCGACCCTGAACAGGGTTTCCAAGGCTGTACATCTTTAAGGGAGCAGAAAGCCTCATCTTTCTCCCGCAGAGCAGCTGGTAGTTTCGTACTGCTGACCTTGCAGTACACAGCCCGATTCGTAACCACTACTCTACCAGAGCTCCCGTAAAGATTACAGCCTAGAAAATCCAATGGGGCAATTTGACTTTATCACATGGAGTTGCTATAAATCAAGATTGACTTGACACAGAGCCCAGCAAGCGGAAGATAATTACTAAACAGCTGGTGCCCTTTGCCTTGATGTGCCCCTCAAGCAAAATGTAACTCTACTGGAACTGCTGGTGAAGATTCCGCTAGGGTTCTTGCTCTTGCTGCGTGTGTTCACACAGGCAAGGTCTGATTCCATGTATGGTCTCTATTGGTACTACCAGTGTTCCCATCAGTATGTGAAGGATATGTTGTTAAGTGCCGCCGAGTCAATTCCAATTCATAGTGATCCTGTACAGGTTTTCCAAGGAGCAGCTGGTGGGCTTGAACCACCAACCTTGAGGTTCAAACCAACTTGGCAGTCTGGTGCACTAACCCACAGCACCACACCAGGACTCCTGTGAAGGATATGAGGGTCATCATATAAGTGGAACTAAGTGATATTCATTGAGTGGATTATCTGAGATGTCTATCCAACAAAGGAAATTCATTGTATATAAAATTAAGAAACCTTCCGTTTAAAAAAAAGTGGTGATTAAATGAATAAATGAGTGAATGCTGTTGTGAAGTGCCATTGAGTTGGTACTGATTCATAGCGACTCTGTATAGGGTTTCTGAGGAGCAGCCGGTGGGTTTGAACTGCCAACCTTGGGGTTCATAGTGCTGATCCTACAGTGATACATCAAGAGCCTACAAATGAGTGACTAAACAAGCATTAAAAAACCAAGCAAACCAAGACAATCACAAATGCACGGGTGGATGGACACGTTGAGCAGGACCTGGTTCCCATGGAGCAGGTAATGATCCCATCCCACCTCAAATCACCTGGGCCTTGTGGATGTGGAGGTAGGAAGTGAGGATGAAGCTGATGCTAAGCCAGTCTTATCTCTCCTTTCCTCCTGGGAAGGGGCTTTGGTCAGGCCCTAGGGAGCCCTGGGGACTTATAAACCTGACCCCTTGCAGAGTTCTATGTGCAGATGCAAAAATCAGTGCAGATAGAAGTGAAGTAGGTCTAATGACATGCCCTGGTCTTTGCTCCCAGTAAAGAAACACTTGGGGATCCCACTAGCTGGAAGGAGCAGACTAGTGTTAGTGGGAAGGGAATAGAGCAATGGGCAAGACTACATAGGGAAGAAAATTGAATGCTTATGAAGTTATCCCAACAGATTGGGGCTTGGTGGAGGTCAGAAATGCCTCTACATGTTAACTTGAATGATGGGGGAGACAATATACAATAAGAGGGAGGTTGGCATGGGAAAGATGAAGCGAGTAGAAGACACAGGGAAGAGTACAAGAGTTAAAGTGAATAGAGGCAAATATGTTGACTGATGGTGCATGGAGGGGACTGCAAGCACTGTAAATACACAAAGTGCATGATTTGTTTGTTGAATGTGGGACTGACGAGCTCTTCTGTAAACCTTCACTCAATTCACAATGAAAAGTTATGAAAAATGCCTCTACTAACTAACTCCTCATTCCTCTACCCTCCTGACTAGATCAGGAACTCTCTGAAGGCAGGAATCTTGTCCAATAATTTTCTGTTTCCTAGTACTCAGCATAGGGCCTGGAACTCAATGAATTTTGCTAGAATGCATAGATGGATGGATGGAGGGATGGATGGCTAAGTGGCTGACTGGTTGGCTGGGTGAAGGGATGAATGGATGAGGGAATGGGTGAATGGATGGATGAGCCAATAAATTAACAGACTGACAGGTGGATGAATATACAAGGGATCAATAGATGTACAGTTGGAAATAGAGACAGATGATGAATAGATAAAGGATGGGTGAACCGACATATTAGTATACAGCTGACTAGATGAAGAAGTAAATACACAGATAGGTAGATGGATGCATGGACTGACAGATAAATGGATAGATAAATGTATGACTGGCATCATGGGTAGACAGACGGATGTTGGAAAAATAGATAAACAGATTAATAGGAAAACAGATACATGGATGGACAGACAAGAGAGATTTATAAACTAAGAAGACTAGATTTATAAACTCAGGCACTAGGAAGTGTTGGGGGATGAAGATATTTGTGTTGAGGACAGAGCCACTAGGGGCTTGTGGCACTCAGGAATCTGGGAGGGAAGGGTGTGAACTGGGTCCTTCTCTGGTGGGAGAGAAGCCACTGGGAGGGGACTCAGAGGGAAGGGAGCAGAACTTGGGCACTGGGGCCCAGGGCCTGGCAGTAAGCTCAGAGCCCTCAGTAAGCTTGGCTGACCCGAGGAAGTAGAGGCCCCAAGAGGTCACGTCTACCAGCTCTGACCCCAAGAACGTGACTGTTAGCCACGTGGGGTCTCAAGAGAAGCAGGCATTTGTGGTGTGGGGGTTATAGAGCCTCAGTAGGGTCTGGGGGTGGCAAGGGCCTACTCTGATGAAGTTAATCTTCCTCTCTCCCACCCTTCCTTTCCAGCCCCCAAGGCCGCCCCTCACAGTTCCAGCTTCCTTTGGGCAGGGGGCCTAGCCCCCATGGCCTCCCAGGCCAGCCCTTGGAGCACCACCTGCCCCAGCCAGCCCAAGACTTCCTGTAGCACAAGAGATTTATGCAAACAGCGCTGGGGCGGTGATGTCACCCCAAGGGGACTATCTCCCAGTGGCAGGCCCTTCGATAAAATCAGGAACTTGTGCTGGCCCTGCAATGTCAAGGAAGGGGGCTCACCCAGGGCTCCTGTAGCTCAGGGGCAGGCCCGAGCCCTGTGCCCGCCTCACGTCCGTTCAGCCCCCGACGGGGCACCCCATCTCGAGGGGCTTGGTAGTGGCCCCCACCGAGGCAGGGGACCTGACCGGCTCGGAACTCGGCTGGATGTTACAGACGTGCAAAATGGAAGGGTTTCCCCTCGTCGCCCCTGTGAGTACTGGAGTTCCTTCGCCTGTCTAACCCGGGGACCTCGCTTGTCCACCAGACTGTCAGCCCATCCGCTGCCCCCCAGCTCGCTATCAGTGGGAAGTTGGTATTTCCTCCCTGGAGCTCCTGGTCTGAGACTCAGCGAGGGGACCATGGCTGCCTCGGGGCTGAGGGCTGGCCCTCGGTGGGGCTGTGATCCGTGGGGCCTGAACAGTTATTTATGGACGGGCTGGGTGGTAGGCCCAATCCAGGGCAGAGCTCTGGGCTGTGGATGGTGAAGGCGGCAGCAGATGGGTAGAGGAAGAGTTGATGGAGAGACAGGCATGGGGGAAGCCGGTCCCCAGGACAGAAAGGAGTTGAGGGACAGAGCTAACAGGCCAGAGGTCTCCACCCATGACCTGGAGACTCCTGGAGACTGAAGTTGAAGTAAATCTGGGTCCCCAAGGCCCCGTATGGGGCCTGGTAAAGAGGACATGGTTCTTGTTGACCAAAGGATTTAGGTCTTTGGCCCACCAGTCCTGGGGAGGCTGGGGCAAGTACTGAGGCAAGGGTTGGGGCTGGGGCAGGGGCAGAGTGTGGAGCAGGGACAAGTTTGGGACAGGAGCTGGTTGTGGCTGGGGCTAGGACAGGATTTGGGGCAAAAGATTTGGGGCAAAGTGGTGCAGGGAGTGGCTGGGGCAGGGCCCAGGATCATGGCGAACCAGAACAAAGATGGGACTGAGGACAAGGCTGAGACTGGAATTAGGACAGAGGCCAGGGAGAGGCACTTAATCTAGGGGTGAGGATGCAGGAATTCTGGAGACCCCAGAGAGGAAATGACAAGGAAAAGGACTTCAGACTGAGGCAGCTCCCACTGCTCCCTGGTTCGCTGACAGTTGTAGCCTTGGGCAGAGGTCAGATACAGGTCCTTCAGAATGACCCCTCTCACTGCTCCCCCTCAGACCTGGGCTGGCGAGGGGTAGCTGGGAAGGACTGGCTGCAGGGCCTGCCCATGTGACTCAGTTTTCCCGGTCTAAATCCCTTCCCAGCCCAGCCCAACCCCAGCCAGTGAGGTACCTCCGGCCTTACACCCCGAGAGCCAGGCTTAGTGGTGGAGCCTGGCTCCTCACTCAGCTAGACAGGATCGACTACAACCTCACCTCCCACCCTTCTCTCCATCCACCTGGGGCCCCCGAAGCTGGGCAGCTGGGAGGGCGGTGGCTATCCCAGACAGAGACAACTCAGCCTCCGGAAGCTATGGTCAGGGTTTGGCCACTCTGTCTCTGTCCCTTGACCTTAACTCACAATTCCTGGGCTCCAGTTAGAGCCAGGAGGGAGGCAGCGACCTCTGGGGCCCCCCCACCAGACCCCTCAGCCCCTTCCAAGTCTCAAAGGATCACTTTTGAATGCCACTTGAGAAAGATTGTGCCCAAGTCAGTCCTGGTCCCTCAGACCCAAACTCTGTAGGCCTAAGTCAGTGTTGTGCAATCCTTGGGCACACAGTGCCTGGGCGGGGAGAGGTCGGAGGGTGCTTGTCCCTGTGGCTGTGCCAATGTGAGAGGGGGAGGGGGACCGGAGGGATGAGGAGGGGGAAGAGGGAGGAGAGGTGTGTAGGGGAGGGGAGGAAGGAAGAGGAGGATCCCTCAGGAGAGAGTCTCCCAGTGAGGGTGTGGCAGGAGGTGAGCAGGTCTAAGCCGTGGCCACCCCTAGGTCCCCACGCTGAGACCCCATGTGAATGTCGCCTTGAGCTGGGGCCTGGGTGCTGGCTGTGGAGAGGCGTGGGCAGTGGGGAGTGCTGAGTGTGGGATGGGCTGTGGGTCTGCATGTTCTCCATCTGACGAGTGTCAACAATCCATGTGTGTGTCTACAGGGAGTGAGAGTGTCCAACAGATTATGTGTTAATGTGTGGCCACAGTGTGTGTATGAATGTGAGAGTTACTGTATGTGGCTGTGTGGGGGTAGTTTGTATGCTCAGTGGGTTTGAGTTGAGTAACTGTAATGTGTGGGTTTGTGTGTGGGGTGGTGGGTGTCAATGGGTGTGGGAAGTGTGCGTAGTGTGCCTACGTTTAAGGGATGTGGGTGCGATCAATGTTAGAGGGTTCGTATGTGAGACAGTGCACACATACAGGTTTGAGTGTAGGTGGGAGTGGGAGGGAAGGGTTGCTAAGTAGGTGGAAGAGCCCTGCTCTCCCCTCAGGCCTGGCCCTCTTTGGTCCTCCTGGTTCCCAGCATCCTTTTCTCCAGGAGCCAAAGAGCTTGCTCTCCTGGGCCATCACCCCACTGCCTTGCTCTATTCTCTGTGACTCTGACCTCTTCCATTCCAAGCAGAAAGAGGCCCCTTGGTAAGGGAGGGTGGTTGTACCCAACATATTGGGGGGGCTGCAAGCCTTGCTGACGTCTCACCACCAGTCTGAGACTTGACCCCTCCTCTTTCAGCAGCCTCCGGATGACCTGGTTCCCTATGAGTCGGATCTGTACCAACGCCCAGCACACGATTACTACCCCTATATCAGCAGTGATGGAGAAGGTCACAGTGGTGAGTACAGGACCCCTCATGCTACAACCCCCTTCCCAGCCTGGCTTGGCCACTCTCCTGTCTGGAGAGAAAGAAGACGTGGTTTCCAGGACATCTTCAGAATTCTGAGAAGAGGGGAAAATGGACCCACTCTCCTAAGTCTCCACACCCCTGCTTCCCTCTCTCCCGACCTTCATTTATTGAACATTTGCTGTGAGTTGATGCCTGAGCTTAACTTCTTCCACATAGATTTTCTTGTCCAACCCTTGTGGCCTTATTACAAATGAGGAAACCGAGGCTGAGAAGTTCAATGCCTTGCACAAAGTTACTCTGTTCCCGCTCTTCCAATTCCCCCCTTCTTCCTCTTGGTACTTGTCACCCACTTCACCTCCTTTATCCCCACACCCCTCTGTATGTGGTTCGAAACTTGTTCTTAACCTTAGCACTGTTGACATTTTGTGCTGATCCTTTTTTGGTGTAGGGCTGCCCTGTGTCTTGGAGGATGTTTAGCAGCATCCTACCAGATCCCCTCGTTAGGTGCCAGTAGTGCAGCCTGCCATGACCACCAAATAATGACCACCAAGTCTCCCCTGGGCTCACAGTCATTCCTTCTTGAGAACCATGGGTTAAGGGAGAGATTCTGAGGGACTCTGAGGCCCTAGTGTGCAAGGAGCAGGGGAAAGGGCTGGGTTAGGCACCCTTCTATCTAGTCTAACTGCCCACCCCAGGCCCAGCCTCACTCTTGGGACAAATCCAGGAGAGAAGAGAGGGGCGTTAGATGCCTGGGATCTGGGCAGGGGGCTGTAAGGGGTCAGCTGACATTGGTGAGGTGGTTTGGTAATGGGTGAGGCTTCCCAGGAGGATTCTCCGAGGCCTGGGTGGTGTTTGCAGCCCCAGAGGGCAGTGTGTGCTAGATGCCACCACTGAGGAAGGCTTCACACCCAACGGTTACAACTCGGGATCAGTTATACCCACCACTCCGCGTCACCTGCTGGCCACAGGGTACTTCAGGCGGGGAGTCCACTCTTTGGGCTCTCACATCTCCATGCCAAACCTTGCACACAGTTTACCTGGAACTCACACCTTTATAAAGGACTCTACCTGGATGCCTAGTGTTGTGCTGTAGGATAAGCAAGCACTGAAATACTAACTGAAAGGTCAGAGGTCCAAACCCACCAGCCATTCTACAGCAACTCTATTAACAGTTCTGTGCCGTGGAGTCGGTTCCGACCCATGGTGACCCTGTACAGGGTTTCTTAGGCTGTAAATCTTTACGGCAGCAGAAAGCTCATCTTTCTCCTGCGGAACAGCTGGCAGTTTTGAACTGCTGACCTATACAGGGTCGCTATAAGTTGGAATCACCTCCACAGCACTTAACAACGACAACCTGGAAGCCAGGATTGCATAAACGGATAAATGCTTAAGTACTAACCAAAAGGCTGGCAGTTCAAACCCACTCAGAGGTACCTCAGAAGCAAAGCCAGGTGATCTGCTTCTAAAAGATCACAACCTTGAAAAATTTATGGAGCACAGTTCTACTTTGAAACACATGGGGTCACTATGCATTGGAATCGACTGGATGGTAGCTGGTGCTGGTAACAGATCTTGGGAGTAGGTGACAGACACACCTTAAGGTCCTGTCTGTAGCACACAGGGCTTTAAAATACCCTCACTCAATCTTTTAAATTTAATTATAATTGCACAAGAAATAATCCTCTCTGTGGAAAATCCAGACAATTTAGAAAAGCTCCCTCATCAAGGGACAGGGTTTCAGTAACCCACACACCCTCTGGCAAACACTGGGTGAAGCGCAGAGATGGTCCCTCTGGCTTGATGATTGGCGCCCCCTGGTGGCTTCAGACAACAGGCTCACTCAGATCCCAGCAAGTTGAGTACTGCCTGGGATCTTCTCTGCTCTGTCCAATATCCCTCTCCGTCCGTTTCACAGGTTTGGATGTGTTTCCTTTGGGCCTATTGCCTCAGCTTTTGCTCCTGTAAGATGAGGGTACTGTGTACACATTAAGAAGCCAGTTAAGTTTGGGGTTCTGGCTGATGGGGTGAGCCCTGGAGAGAAAGCCTGTTTTTCTGCTCAGTGCCCAGTTGTTGTCAAATGATTTTGACTCATGGAGAGCACATGTGTTTCAGAGGAGTACGATATTCAGTGACAGCTTGTTCAAAAGCAGATCACAAGGACTTTCTTCCAAGGTACCTCTGGATGGATTTGAACTTCAAATCTTTCTGTTAGTAGGTGAGTGCATTAAGCATTTGCACCATCCAGGGATCTAGGAATGATTCCTGATTAGTTAGCTGAGCACCCTGTCTTTAAGTTCAAATATAGTTACACAGGACTCCTGGTGTGGTGCTGTTAGAAAAGCACTCAACTGCTAACCACAAGGTTGTCTGTTCAAACCCATCAGCAACTCCTTGTAAGCCCTATATAGGATCACTATGAGTTGAAACCAACTTGACGGCTTTTAACAACAACATAGCTACACAAGAACGAATCCTTTCTGTGGAAAACCCAGACAACTTAGGGAGAAAGTAGCCCTCATCCTATTTCTTCCAATGTCCCCTGGGGCCTCAGGCATTGTCCCTAGTCTTTGCCCACCCAGGGTGTCTGACCCTTCTCTAAGACCCTGTAGGAAGGTATTGTCTGAAGACTCAAGAGTGGAGATACACACACACACACACACACACACACACACACATCCTTCCACCAGTTCCTGCCTGCACTCTGTCTACATTTTTCGGTGGTGAAGCTTCATATAAAGGCTTTGGAATTGGACCTGCATTCCATCACTCTCCAGCTGTTTAGACTTTGGGCAAGAATTTAACCTCGCTGAGCCCATTTCCTCATCTACAATGCTGAGAGCATGAAACTACTTACCCTGTTGAGTTGTGAAGGCGTCATGGCAGTGTGGTTGTTGTGATGTGCCGTTGAGTTGGTGCCAACCCATAGAGACCCTATACAGGTTTTCTGAGGCTGTAAATCTTTATGGGAGCAGAAAGCCTCATCTTTCTCCCGTGGAACAGCTGGTAGTTTTGAACTGCTGACCTCAAGGTTCACAGCCCGATTCGTAACCACTACGCTACCAGAGCTCCTTTCATGGTAGTGTAGGGGTTACAAGTTGGGCTGTTAACTGCAAGATCAGCAGTTTGAACCTATCAACTGCTCAGAAGAAGAAAGATGGGGCTTTTATCTCCTGTAAAGATTTATAGCCTTGGAGATCCTACACATAGTTACTATGAGTCGGAACCCATTCCATGGCACACAACCACCACCACCATTGAGTTGTGATGATTAATGGAGGTAATACATATAATGTATGAGGTAGTGTGAAGTACTGAGCATAAAGCTGAATAAACTCTTAATACGCAGTAGTATCTTGGTTTGACCACATCTCCCCTGCAGGCAAAATGAAGCAGCTAGGAGAATGTGTTGGATGCAGAGGGCTCTGTGGCTGGTTAATTGGGTCATTTCCCACCCGTCGAATATGCACTGATTGTACACCATAGACCAGACTGTTCTAGGCAGTAGCAATTTCCTGATGAGCATTTCAGACCAGCTTACAACTCAGAGGGGGGAGCAGAAGATGATAAACAATCAAATAACTAGACATATCCTATCCTTTGTTGTTGTTGTTAAATGACATCAAGTCAGTTCTGACTCATAGCGACCCCTGTATAGGGGTTCTGAGGCTATAAATCTTCTCAGGAGCAGAAAGCCCATATCATTTAGACCTTTAGAGAGAAATGTAATGCAGAGTGTTTGTGCATGGGTCTGTTTACTTTGGTGGTCAGGAAAGGTCTCTCTGAAGAGGTGGCAGTTGAGTTGAAATCTGAATGAAGAGAAAGCACTGGTCGTGAAAAGAGAAGAGACGAACAAGTGCAAAAGCAGGGGCCTCCATGGGGACCTCACGTCAATGAGTGGTGGTGAGCAGGTGAGGGAATGATGCTGAGATGAAGCAGAGAGGTTGGATGGGGCCAGATCACACAGAACTCGAGGCCATGCTGGGAGTTTGGATTTCATCCTACACACAATGGGAAGCCACTGGAAGCTTTTGAGCATGGAATGGCATAGTCTGAGAAATCGTTTTCAAACATCCCTCAGACTGTTGTGTGGAGAACAGATGGAAAACAGATAAGAAAAGGAGCAGGGGGAACACGTAGGAAGCTCTTGGGATAATCCAAGCAAAAGATGATGGTGGCTTGAACAAGGGTGGTGGCAGAAGAGATAGAGAGAAGTGGACAGATTCAGTATAGATTTTGAGGATAGAGCTAACAGGATTTGCCAAATTCCAAAACACGGCTCCTTCTCTCCATCCATCCATCCATCCATCCATCCATCCATCCATCCATCCATCCATCCATCATCTTTCCAACCACTAATTCATCCTTTATTATCCATCCACTAACTTACACACACACCATCTAATTATCTATTCATCGACCCATCCAACTCTCCTTCCCTCCACCTACCAAACTTTCCACTCATCTCCCACCAACCTATCCATCTAATAACTACTTATCAAGCATCTTTTATACGCCAGACACTTTGCTAAGTGCTGTGGGATGAATAAAACCAGCTCCTCCCAGATCCATCTTTGTAACAGAGGGAATAACTAAAACCCTAATAACTAGGATACGGTGTAGAAAGCAATGAGTGCCTCAGTTTCCACATCTAAACAATGTGCAGCAGGGGCTGGCCTTCAGGACCCCCAGTTCAATGGTCCATGATTTCCTGAGAGGTTCTTTCTAGATTGCTCATCTTCATTCAGCCTTGATCTAGAAGTTCCCTGCGTTTCAGGCTGGGGTTTCTGTTCTAAAAAGAAGCGGGCAACTGAAGCTAGAATTTGGAGGTTGTGGGTTACTTTGAGTATCATTTATTTATGTCCTGGTAACATGGGCATTTGTGACATCAAAAACTGAGTGACAATAGGAATGTGTAGGGAGGACTTTGCACCCAGTTTGGACTCTTGTTTAGAGGAAGGCTGATGGATAATGGGATAATGATGGCTAAA